AAGAAACCAAGTCATTGTGCCTCACTCCAGGGAGGAAAGCTGCCAAATAGAGGCTGGCGGCTCAGTCCGCTTCTTGTCTCTTCGGCGTATCATTCTAGCTGGGGAGAGAGCTTGGGCTCAGATTTCATGTGTGGACCTTATGTCAGTGAGAAGCATTAATTGATTGTGGTCCTGTATTTCTGTAGATGAATTGGGGACAGGAAATCACCTGTGATGGGGAGTGGAAGGGAGGTGAGATCTTTGAGTGGTGTCAGGAATAGTGCTAGGAAACTCCCTTGTCCCAAGTCTTGCTGCCCATGAGACATGAAGGGCCCTGGTGTAGTCAGAACATATGTTAGAGCATTGCCTACTGTCACGTCCCGTGCTGGGCGGCCTTCTCCTCCTCTTTGCTGCTACTCACTTCTCTCTTTCCATTCTCTGTAGGAAGAAACTAGCGATTTGTTGCTGTGACGTTGTGTGGAAACCACGTTGTAAAGAAACCACAAAATGGAATCCTTTTCCAGCCGGAGGCCTGTTTCCCAGTGCGCCCATCTGGTCTGGGATGCGTGAGCATTGAAGGAGCGAGAGGACAGAGCAGACATCTTACAGCCTGCTCCTTGGGACCGCAGCCCTCCTGCCGGGGCATGCCACCTCCGTGGGAGCACAGCATTACCTGGCTTTTGCAGGCACTCGGTCTGCTGCGTGCACTGAAGCCGTAATGCCGGGAGTGTGGCAGTATGGAGATCAGTCTAGTTGGGTCTATTTAATATGAAATGGTGATCACTCATCCGCCCACTGTTTAGTAACTGGTGTAACTGTGTTTTCATCTGTATTTTTTTAATACTCAAAAGCCATTTAATTTTCTATGCAGTTCAAAAACGTCTCCCCTTTGCAACTGCCAGGTGGGAGATCTGTGCAGGAGAACCAAGCCAAGTGGCTGATAGTTTTTTTGATTTTGCTGTTGCTCTCTTTTAAGGATGCATACTGGAGTCCTTTGCACACAGTGTCCCTTTACTGAGCTCCTCCCTTAAGTTAGACCCCACTTAACATCCCTGAGCTCCAGGGATGAGGGCCCCGAATTTTTGAAGGATCTGTCATTTTTCATTAGTCAAGTCACAAGGAAAGAGGGCTTGAAGGCAGTGCCCTAAGAGCAGAGATACCAGAGTTCAGAGTGTGTATTATATTCCTGGTCTTGTCCCTGCCTGGAGAGTTACTGAACTGTTAGAAACGACTAAGGCCTCTGTGGAGCACCCTGCAGCCTTTACTGAAAGTGTATGAAGAGGGCAGAAAAGACTGGGGCATCACTCGTCTCCCTGTGGAGCTGACAGTGAATTTAACCCCTTTGGAATAGGAGGAGAATCTCCTGGTACTAGATGCCTACTTCACTCAAGAGGACTGCACTGGTTTTGCTTACTGGTTTGCAGACCCCTTGCTTGTTGACCAGTTGATGTCCTACTGAAACTGGTGCAGACAGGTTTGGAAGCAGAGCTGGCAAGTTGCTTTGCACTGCAGGACTTCCAGCTCCTGGAAGATGTCCTGGAGTACCTTGTGTTATGCTCTGAAGCAAAACCTGGGATTCAAACCCGCATCCGTCCAAGTGAAAGTCCCAGGATGGCAGCTTTGCCTTCTGCTGGGTCTGTGTAACACATGAGAAACTGCATGTCCCTAAGCAGCACACAAATCTGTTGAGGTAGAGTGAGAGGGAGCCCGAAGGCTGATGCTGCACATCTAGCTCATCTTAGAGCTTGTGGGGGTACTTGGAGGCCTCTGGCAACTGCAGAGGGTCCTGGGTGATGGGACACCTCTGCTTTAACTGTGCTAAAGGCAAAAAGGTCGGAGAAGTAAGATTGTTTCCAACTGCCACAAGGCCGGGATGCATTTGACTAGTATCCTTTCGTGGCAATGCTGTTCGTTCTGTGGTCTGTCCCTGCTCTGAGCTTGAGGGATTCAGCTTTAAAGTTAAACAGAAATAGAGACCAGATTGGGATTTAACCTGCCTTGTGGTCTCTCAAATCAGATGGAAGAGACTGGGGGCTGCAGAAGCACAGGTGATCTCCCTCGCAACGTCCCTTCATGCTACAGTTCCACAGTGGCTGTGAAAACTCGATAGTGCATTTGGGTGCTGCTTTCCCAGGAACCCAAGATGTGATTGGCTGTGCTGTAGCACCAGAGCTTTCATGGGGTCCCTGTTCCCTTCCCCTTTGTACCTCTGAGGTGGTTAAAATTTGTCAGAGCAGTAGGGGCTCCTCACTGTGAGGAGACAGATACGGTTGTGGTAAAGGGAATGGCAAATGGTATTTAGGAGCTCACTAAGTGAGGTGGAAACCCACTGGCTCACTCCTTCAGAGCCGGATCCCAGAGCTCGACTCCTCCTGTGCCCTTTGGATGGGATCTTGGGCTGGCATCCTTGAAACAGCAGTGTGGGGAGGTGGAGATGCTGCATGGCAGTAAGCACAAGAAGAGGCAAGCAAGTGGGCCTCAGTGTAGCACTCATCATGCGCTTCATGGCTCAGTTCATGGACTGTAATTGCAGGTATTCATATAATTCACATCACTGGGCAGGACTCTGCGCGCACACACACATGCATGCCCAGACGTACACGCACCACACCCACACTTGCCCACACATCCTCGCCAAAACGACTGAAAATAAAAGTGATCTTGGTCTCAAGGAGAGGCCTGGCTGGCTGTTTTTCTTGTTCCAGTGCCTCCTTGAGCCCTGCCTCTGGAAGGGTCTGCCCCTGACTGTAGATCTGGGGTTTTCTGAATCCAGGAGCCAGAGCTTTTAGGAGGACTGTTAGCAAATGACTCATAAAGTCATCAAGAGATTTGGCTTTGAATGAATCTGAGCATGGAGCCCCTTATTCAGACTGGAAGCAGCTGGGAAGCAGCTTTTTCCCTTTGGTGTTTAGGGTGTATTGTGGGTTTGTGAGGCCCGCTCAGCAGTTCTCATTGGCACTGTGCTGATGCTTTCTTGTAAAGCTTGGTTCCTTGCAAACCCTGCTCGAGTGCCACATTGTTCAGAGGCGAGAGCAGTAGGACAGATGGCCCTCTGCTTGCCACCATGGGCGGAGTGCCAGGAGGGTGAATTAAAAGTAGAGAGCGAGTCCCCTCCCACACAGCCCTGAGCAGCTGTGTGTGACTCTGCTTCCATCACCACCCTCATCTGGAGGAGAAGACAAGACAGACCTCTGGCAACCCCAGCGAACACAGCCATGCTGCACAGCAGGTCTAGGGGACGGGATGGCGGTATCTGCAACAAGGTGCTGGCGTGCTGGAGTGGGATGGGAGGCAAGACTGAGGGCGAGGTGGCTGGGCCCCAGCCACGCCATGGCAGGGCAGGTGAGGAGATGCCAAGAAGGCCAATGGCATCCTGGCCTGTATCAAAAATAGTGTGACCAGTAGGAGTAGGGAAGTGATTGTGCCCCTGTACTCGGTGCTGGTGAGGCCGCACCTTGAATACTGTGTTCAGTTTTGGGCCCCTCACTACAAGAAAAGATGTTGCATTGCTGGAACATGTCCAGAGGAGAGCAACCAAGCTGGTGAGGGGTCTGGAACACAAGTCATATGAGGAGCGGCTGAGGGAACTGGGGTTGTTTAGTCTGGAGAAGAGGAGGCTGAGGGGAGACCTGATCGCCCTCTACAACTGCCTAGGTATTTAAAAGAAGGATAGATGAGGTGCTTAGGGCCATGGTTTAGTGGTGGGATGGCAGGGTTAGGTTAAAGGTTGGAGTCGATGAGCTCAAAGGTCTTTTCCAACCAAAGTTATTCTATGATTCTATGCCAGGCTCTTTAGGGGCTGGCAGATGTGGAGGGGCCGGAGTGCTTTTATCAGCCGGGCGGGTGCCACATTGGCCTGCATCACTGAGGGACAGAAGGGAAATCTCCCAGGATGTGCTTGGGCTGTGCTCCAGGGCTGTGGGAAGCACCGGCAGAAAATGAACCGACCTGTGATGGACAGAGAGGCCTCCCCCCTTTGCCTTCACCTCCTGGCTGAGAAGACCCAGAGGCCTCACATGCGTCGCACGCCATCTGCCCCACGCCAAGAGCTGACTGTGGACTGAGGGACACGGGCAACTTTCCGGGGCGGGGAGAGGATGGGGGCAGCCTAATTGCTGTGTAGCCAGGAGCTGGCTGCCCACACCCCATGGGCATCCCGGATCCGTGTTTAGGATGCCCTCTGCGACATCAGGAGAGGAACGTGGAAGCATAAGGGGTCCGTCCTGTGCACCTTTCCCATAACAGAGCTTCCAGAAAGCTGCTGTGACCCCAAAACCAGGAGGCTACTCAGGGCGAGCTCAGGAGGGTGAAGGCAGAGCTGCTGCTGCAGGGAAGCGGGGCCGAGCGGGGCGGGGCCCAGGGCTGCCGTGCCACATACCCATCACTATTTTTTATCCCGGACGGGGAAGGTGGGAGCCGGGGCCGGGGCCGAGCAGCTGGTGGGGTCTCGCG